GCTGGGTGAAAAGGCAAATCCCAAAAGGTCACCTACTGTGTGATTCCACGTAGATAGACAGCACCCTTGAAGTGACCAAATGAGAGAAAGAGAGAGAGAGAATGCAGATTGACAGCTCCTGGGGCTGGACTGCGGCTATGAAATGGCAGCATGAGGGACCCTGTGCTGCTGGACACGTACAGTGTCTCAACCTTGGTGGTGGACGCCACATGAAGCTCCACGCATGAAGGAATTGCACAGAACACACACACACACACACGCACACAAATGAGTGTGTGTAACACGGTTGATCGAGCCTCTCCACGCCCACTTGCCGGCGGTCGTAGTGTCCTACAGTTTTGCAGACGTTACCATTGGGGGAGACCCAGTGAAGGGCACCAGGGGGTCTTCGGCGTTACCTCCATACAAGCCTGCAGCATGCGTCACACAGGACACGTGCTGTCCCACCCCGAATAAACAGCTCCACGTGTATTCGGCAAATGTCCCAGGACAGGTCCCAGCTGGATGCTGCCCCGAAGGGGCGTGTGTGTGCCGGCGGGGATGCCGGCCTCTTCCCCGGCTGGCCTGCAGGGGGCAGCCTGGCCATGCAGTGACGGGGGCTCCGCAGAGGCTACTTGGCTGGGCTCAGCTTCCCAGGCCTGGCGGTGGGAGCCCTGGGGTTCCTGTTCCTCCCCCCCTCTCTCACACAGACACACACACACACACACACACACACACACACACACACACGCCCCGCAGCCCATGAGCTCATTCTGCCCACGGCTGGCAGTCTGGGTGGGATCACTTCTGCTTGAGCTCTTTGTCCGGCTCTGTTTCAAATGACTCATGAGTGGCTCTTGCCTTCTCCCCCAGGGAGACCCCCTTCCTGGCCTCGTATACCTTCCCAAGGAGGCAGCGTTTCCTAATAAGCGGGCTCTTGCCCCACGCCTCCCAGACCACCCGAGAGAGCAGCTCCCCGCCCGGGTAGCAGCCGGCGGCCTCCTGGAGCGGGGAGCAGGGAGCCTCCGCACCCTCATGCCCGGCACTCCGTCTGTCTGCCGGACGTCCAGGCCGGGAGGCGAGCTCTCGCAGTCTCTGTCTCTGTCTCTCTCTCTCTCTCTGTGTCTCTCCCATTCATTCTCTGTGTCTCTCCCTGCCTCTCTCTCATCCATCTCTCTCATTCATTCCGTCTCTCTGCACCTGTCTCATCCATCATCCCTCTCATTCCCGCTCCATCTCCCTCTCTCATCCATTCTCTCTGTCTCTCCCCATCTCTCTCTGTCTCTGACTCTGTCCCATGGTGCAGGGGACTGAGGTCCAACGCTGGACGGGACAGCTGTATCGGGAGTGAGGAGGGGGTGGGAGTCCCGTCCGATCCTTGTGCCCGACCCGGGGGCTGTGAAGAGGGGGGCTGCAGGAGGAGCCCTGGGGAGGGGGCTCTGCTCAGTTCCATGAGGGTCCTGCACCCAGGGCTTTCCCTCGAGGCTTCAGGGAACACGCCCTTGCTCCCGCCTAGCCGTGGAGTGACCTCAAGGATGTGAGCGCTGGTTCTGACAGGGGCACCGTGGCTCTGCGCGAGCCCTGGCCCTGCCAGGCCAGTTCTGGAAGAGACGTCAGGCGGGCCTGGCCTGGGAGGTGGGCACCCCGACGATGTTGCAGGAGCTCGTGCGATTGCTGATCTGCCGAGGCCCAGGCATCGCCGCCCCCCCACTTCCTCACGTCGGGTGGACCCCGGCGGTCTGTGGGGCAGGGGTCTCCACGACGCTGGATGTCCGTGTTCCCTTCCTGTGGTGGGACTCCTTGCAGAGCCCACGCCCCTTGGAAAGCATCGCGAGCCCTGGGTGTGTAGGGCCGGCTCTCCCTCGCGCCCCCAGGGATCCCGCCAGCTGTTGAGTGTGTCTATTCCAGTTGTGCATCTGGAGCTGGGGGAGCAGCCACTGGATGGGCTCGGGGGGCTGCCAGAGCCAAAACCCCACGGATCGCCTGACCCCCACCAGACCCTGCTCCGACGGCAGCGACTTTCCCAGAATCAGTGTCCTGTAGTCCCTGGGAGGTTCCGATTAGTTCCTTTCCCCCAGCTCACAGTCACCCCGGTGGAAGGCCGGGAGAGAGATTAACAGGGCAAGTTTTTGGCCGTGTAGCAGGGTCCTTCCTGAAGAGGACCTGGCCTCCCCTTCATTTAAGGGGTTCTGCAAAACAGTGCAAGCTGGGAACTGATCGAGGGGCCTTGACTCTGCTACTCGAGACAGACTTTTGTTAACAGGACCGTGGAGCCGGCGACGGCTTGTCCTGCCCACCCACCTGCCTCCCCTTCCCTGGATGGCTTCTCAGGCCTGGGTGGCCGTGCTTGGGGACAACGCACCTTCCACCAGGGAAGTCTGAAGTCCCGGCTTCCCCAGCAGAAACATGGGGGCCGCTGTGCCATCGGCCAGAGCAGGAAAAGTCTCCCCCCTGGAAAACGCTTCCCTCCTGGGAAGCTGCCCAAGCTTGTCCAGATGCGGCTCTGCTGGAAAAATCAGGAGGTGGGGACAGGCGTTTGCCCCCCTAGCTTGCCACGTGCCCTTGGGTGGGTGAATCCTGCCGTTCGGGATGGGCGGCCCTCCCAGACCGTCAAGTGTATCTCCGGCGTTACCCTGCACGGACACTGGGCCCCACCACCCACATGCCCGGGGCCACCAGGCTTTCTGATAGTTCCTGATGGGATCTGGGCAAGGGCTTCAAGTGGGGGTTTGGTGGGGCCACTCGGTGAGCCCACAGCTCCCCCTCCTCCGAGGAAAAAGCAGGACGCTTCCTGAGTCCACGAATGGTGGCTCATCCTTATCCGGCCCCTCTTCACCGAATTGGCCCCAAGAGTCCAGTGCTGGGACCAGAGCCCTCTGCCTCTCGGCGGGCCAGCCGGCTGCTCCTTCCTCAGGGACGCGCTGAGCTGAGCAGCGACAGCGCTCGGCTCCCAGTGGCAAAGAGTTTTGTGATGCCCGCCGAGCCTTTCGACACACACTTACAATCTCACACATCATTTTTCTTGGAGGCAATCTCCATGCCTTTAAACATGTCATCGCTCTGGGGCTCCCGTCCCCTGCCTGCCCCCTGCCTCCCCCCACCTCCGCCGCCTCCCATTTCCCGGGTGCTGGACCCAGGCCGTGGGGGCTGCACTGAAGCCCACAGCAGTGGGGTGGGTGGGCCTCCCCAGAAGCCCCCACAGCCTGGGTGGGGTGCACTGGCTGCCTTCCGTGCCAGCCCTTTGTGTGGGGTTGGGGGGTGGGGGCGGTGGCCCAAAAGGATGTGAGCAGAAGAGGACAAAGGAGACCCCCTCCCCACAGGAGGGTGTCCCAGGAGTGGTCACACCCAATGGTAAAGCAGAATCACAGGCTGGGGGGGACCCCCAGTGAGACATTACAGCTTAGAAAGAAGCCACCGCGCACACTGCAGTTGGGTGGGTCTCGGATGGGGAAACTGAGGCCCAGAGAGGAAGTGATCTGCCCAGGCCCATTCTCCTCCCCACCCAACACCCAGCCCGTGCTCACCTGGCAGGACAGGGTGTGCTCACGGGGGCTGGCCACTTGGCCAGGCCTTCACAGAGAGGCAGGGCCGGCCAGCTCACGGAGTGACCAGACCGTCATGGGGGTGAGTTTTCTGCTCTGTTTTCTGCTTCGTTTTCCCTCTGAGGACCCTTTATATTTGCCTCTGTCCTGCGCCAGGTCGCTGAATGATGATATGCACTGCTGTCATGACAGCCCACCCTTCCAGAGGAGCTCTCTCAGAGCCTCAGGCCCTGGGCCGCTGTGCCAGAACTAGCTCCTCCAAGTTCAGAGGGCACTGGCCGACAGAAAGACCTTCCTTCCCGGGAGCCGAGCTCTCCCCTGCAGGCCCAGGTCTTGGGGATATTGCAGCACCTGGCCTGGCCTGACCACGAGACCTTTATAGTGTCATCGGTGCTGGCAGCCCTTCTCCCATGCTGGGGGTGGCTGTTCTGCACTGACCAGGGTCTCCAGTGTGGCAACCACAGCCCAGCCCAGCCTGGGCCGGGGAGCACTGTTCTCACCCTTGCTGTGTGGCTGCCTACACGGGTGGCACCCTGTCCAGGGGACTTCTAAGTGCCACACCCCAGGGCTGTCTGGGAATTTGTGCATCTTCGTGTTTTAACTCGGTCTTTGGACTCTCTGACACCCTCTTGCCTCCTGAGCAGCCCTGGGTGCTCAGCGGCAGCGGGGGTGAGTCACTGGGCAGGTTCTCTGTGCTTCCAGCCACGCTGGGCCTGCACCTTCCTCCCAGAAGTCCCCTTGGTGCTGTCTGTCATCCCCAGCGGGAACGTGGGCTCCGAGGAGGTTCCCTGCCAGTCGGTCTGGCAGTGACTTCAGCCACCAGCTTCCCTCCCGCGATTTAAGAACGGAGAGACCACCGAGGCCCCCAAAGGTCGGACGCCTCACCCCGCACCCCCAGCGGGCCAGGTCGCCTCATGCCCAGGCCCAAGGCGGCTAAAGCGCCCACGGGGAGGAGCGCCTCTTCGGCTCGAAGGGGCGTGGGCATCACCTGCCGGCGCGTGTCCCCTCCCCAGCCGTCCCGCGCCCCAGCTCGGGGCAGACAGCCGGGTCCCCCGCGGCGCCACCCCCGTGCGTCCCGGCCTGGAGCCCCGCCGCACCTCGCCCGCGCTTCCACGGCCGCCCCACTCCCCCTGCAGCGCCCCAACGCTCCTGCCTCTTCCCGGTCCCCGCCCCCGCCCGGGCCGCCAGTCCTCCGCTCCTCCCCGGCCCCCCAAAGCCCTCCCGTCCCGGCCGCTCGGGCCGTCGCAGCCCCCAGCGCGCCCTTCCCCGCCAGCGGGCGGGACGCGCCCGAGCTCGACCCCTCCCCGGCGGCGGCGGCGGCTGCGGGGCCCCGGGTGGCCGGGAGGCGGCGCGGCTCGGGTTTCGGCCCCGCCCCCGGCGCCGACGTGCACCCCTCCCTCCGGCCCCGCCCCTCCGGGGCGCGGGGCGGGGCCGGGCCCAGCTGGCCGGCGCCCCGCCCCCGCGGCCGCTGCTCGGGCGCTATAAGAGGGCGGCGACCGCGGCGCGCCCTGCGCGGAGCCGGGAGCGCGATGGTGAGCCGCCGCGGCGCGGCAAGATGCTGGATGGGCCCCTGCTGGCGCGCTGGCTGGCCGCGGCCTTCGGGCTGACGCTGCTGCTCGCCGCGCTGCGCCCTTCGGCCGCCTACTTCGGGTAGGTGCCCTCCGAGGCCCGTGCGCACGAGCGGGCGGGGGCGGCGCGGCCGGGGCGGGGATGCCAGGAGCCCCCGGGGGCGGTGCGGGCCAGGTGCTCGGGCCGGGTTGCCTGGAGCTGTTTGTTGGCGGCGCGCGCGTCGCTCTGTCCGCGGGTCGGTGTCCCCCGCGGCGCACCGGGGTTAGAGAGGCAGGCGGACCCGACGGACTTGAGAGGGGCCGCGGTCCTCCGTGACCCCGGAGTCGTCGTCGTCGTCGTAGTCGTGAGCGAGGCTGCCTGGCGCTTAGGGGACCAGGATCAGGACCCGGCTCCCTTGGGCTGCCGTGTTCTTGCCAAAAGGCTGGAGCCTCCCAGCCCCTGCCCGCCCACCCCCCTTGCAACTTTCCCCCTTTCTCTCCTCGAGAAGTTAATTTAACAATAACAAAAAAATACGTACAAAATCCAGATGTTCCTTGCACTAAGCCCCAAAGGGAGGGGAAAAAAAAAACCCTCCAAGCTGGAGGAATTTATTTTTCTTGCGCTTTGCTTCTGACGCTTGCCCGGGACTCGGCCGCGGCCCCGGCCCGCGGGAGCGCGTCTGTGGGACCTGGCCGGGTGCGCAGGGCCCGGCTAGGGCGTCCCGCGGGGTCGCCACCCGCACTCGCGGGTCTCTGCAGCAGCGGTTTGCGGTGGTGTCTGCGCGTCGGTCTCCGCTTTTCCTTCCTTCCCTCCCTCCCTCCTCCTCCTCCTCCTTTCCCAGGTCCTAGAGGTCCAGCCCAGCGACCTTTAGAGGGATCCTCGCTGCGCTTTGGGCATGCTGAGCTCCAGGGTGGCACCATGCAAGGCAGCGCCCCAGGCCTCCCTGCCTCCCACCCCGGGCGCCGCCCCTCGGAGCCGCGGCCGGCCCCGCGGTCCCAGCCCCCGTCCTGGGCGCCCTGGGCCGCTCCCTGGGCCGCCGCCCTCCGACGGTCACCTGTTCCCTCGCCCCTGGTCCGGGCGCCGGCGCGCAGCGGCCTGGCCGGCAGAGGGCCCCGTTGGTTCAGGAATCTGGCACCCGCCAGGGCGGGGAGAGGCCGGCTGGGCCGAGGAGCCCTGCAGGTGTATCCTGTTCTCAAAGAAAATAAAATATTTTCATGGGAAACTTTCCTTTTGTGTTTTTCTTTCTCCCCCTTTCTTCTCTCTCTGTTCCTTTCTCCTGGGTCATCTTCCAGGGTCAGCCCGTGTCTCTGTTCCCGGGCCCCGCCCGCAGCCCTCTCCTGGCTCCAGCTGTGGGTCCGGCCCTGGGCCCAGGCTGGCACACCCCTGCACACCATCTGTGCAGCCCGTAGCCTCACCCCCGCCAGGGCGGGAGGGAAGGCGCGAGGATGGCCGTCTGGCCACAGGTCCACGGTGAGTCACGGCGGCCTTGTCAGCCAGCTGTGCCTTCCGTCTCTCTGGGCCCAGCGGAGGCTCCGCTCCCCAGGCTCAGGACACACCCTGGGCTTGTCCTTGCTCGGCGGCTTTGCTCCGCCTGGATCGCCCGGCTGCTGACCCGATGCGTGGGAGACGGGCTTGGGGTGGGGGTCCCGGCCTTCCCTTCTGCCACCTGACCCTGAGCTTTGCACGGCAGGGGAAGTCAGGGGGCTCCGCCGTTGTAGATGCGTGTGTGTGTGTGTGTGTGTGTGTGTGTGTGTGTGTGTCTGTCTGTCTTAGCTCCCTTGCGGGAGTGAATCCTGGCTGTTCTGGGCACAGAGTAGGGGCTTTGACACCGCGGCTGGGCCTGCTGGGGGGCACCAGAGGACCCACGAAGGGTGGTTTTCTGAGTCCTAACTGCGAGTGCAGTTCTTGCAGCTTCCCGTGGGGCGTCCAGAGGGCGGGTGAGCTTCCCTGGGGGGCAGCTAGGACTCTGATGGACCGAGGGTGGGCACCTCCCGGAACCAGGGAAGCTTCCTGGGTGGGGGCAGGCCAGACACCATCTGGGCCCCCCTTGAGTGGGTTCCCGACGGGGGGCCGGGGAAGTGAAGAGGGGATGAGGTGAGCTTTCGTCTGGATGCCTCTCTGGCTGGGACTGGGGCTTGTGGCAGGGGGTCTCGCTGCAGCCGGCGCTGAGTGTCCCTCCCCAGCCCCCGTCCAAGGAGTGGGGAGAAGCCGCTGGGCTCCAGGGCTGCGCTCTACCCTTCCCCCTCTTGAAAGCTCTGCCTGGCACGGAGGCTCCCAGGCAGGAATGAGGCTCCAGTTACAGCCCAGGAACCTGGGGCGGAGAGGCTGGCCCCGGGGAGGGTCACGTGGGCCAGCAAGCGCCCTCCCCGCCCCCTCCCTGAGCTGCAACCCAACCCTGCCTGGCTGGGGCTGCCCTCCTGGAGGCCTCTGGCCACTGGGCCGGACCCCTCCCGGCCTCCCCTCGGCCAGGCCCGCATCCCGGCTGGATTAGCAGGTGGCCTTTCCATCTGGTTCTCCTAGGGCCCCGCACCCTTCTCTACCGAGGGGTGAGCAGGAAGGGCTGGCACAGGGTCATGTCGTGGGATCGGGGTGCAGATTCAGACCCCGTCCCTGGAAGCGGCACAGGGAGGGTGGGCCTGGGCGGGTTTAGGACTTTGGGCTCATCCCCTGTTGGGGGAGGGCTCCCTGGCACCCTGCCCTCTCTGGGTGGCGTTCTCAGGTGAGATAATGACAAAAACATCAGGGGTTGTTCCCGCAACTGGGCCGTTCTGGAATTTAGAAGGGGAGCCCCAGACCCTGGTTGTGGAGTCTGGGGCTGGGGTTGAGGCCCTTCCTGGCCTGGCGGGGCCTGGGTTCCCTGTTCCCAGCTCCCAGGCCGCCCGCAGCCCGGCGCCTTGCAGCCCTTCCCTCGGGTGTCCCCTGTGGCGAGCCAGCCCCCAGCGCAGGCTCTCCGCAGGTTGGTTTCTTCTTTGAGGGCCCTGAGGCTGTTTCTTGGTGGTGGCCCCTGCACTGGGCAGCTTTAGGAAGCACGATGGTGGGCAGCAGACCAAGCCTGGCACCCGCGGGAGTGCTCCCACAGCCCAGGCCAGGGGGCCCCGGCCACGACCCCACAGCCAGACGTCCGTGCAGGAAGGGTGCGTGGAACCGGCCTGGAAACCCAGGCTGCGGTAAGGGGACCCCTCGGAGTTGGGGGCCTGGTGGACGTCAGGGCCGGCGGAGGCTCTCTCTTTGTTATTGGACATAATTCACATCCTGTAAAATCCACCCTCTTAGAGAGCACAGCTCCGTGGTTTTAGTAGATTCACGAGGCGGGGCAGCCCTCACCGCTATCTCATTCCAGAACGTTTTCCTCACCCCAGAAACCTCAGACCCATTAAGCAGTCACTGCCCGGCCCCTCTCTCAGCCCCTGGCAACCACTAATCTGCTCTCCGTCTCCACGGATTCGCCGATTCTGGACGTTGCGCAGAAGCGGAATCATGCAGCCCGCGGCCTCTGTGTCTGGCCTCTGCCACGTGGCTGACGCTCGGGAGGTTCATCCCTGTCGTGAGCGTGAAGCAGCATTTTGTGCCTTCTCAGGACTGAGTTGCACTCCCCTGGGTGGACGTGTGCCAGTTTCTTTAACCGTTCATCGGTTGACGGATGTTTGGGTGGTTTCCACCTTTTGGCTGTTATGAATAATGTTGCCATGAACGTGGGTGTATCTGTTTTTACATTTTTTGGTGTGCGTGGGTATGTGTGTTTTCAATTCTTTGGGGTCCGTACTTAGAAATAGAATCGCTAGGTCACGGACGACCTCTGCGTTGAATTGTTTGAGGACCTGCCAGACTGTTTTCCGGAGTGGCCGTGCCATTGTACGTTCCCACCAGCAACATGCAGGGGTTCCAGTTTCTCCACATCCTCGCTGACGCTCGTTTTCGCTTTTGCTTCTTGATTCTGGCCATCGTAGTGGGTGTGAATGGCATGGTTTTGTGGTTTTCATTTGCACTTGCCTGATGGCCAGTAACATTGAGTTTTTTTTCATGTGCTCTTTGGCTACCTGTATATCTTCTTTGGAGAAACATCTATTTAGTTCCTTTGCTCATTTGTTTCCAGAGGGTTGTGTGTCTTTTTGTTGTTGAGTTGTAAGTGCTCTTTATATATTCTGGATCTCTCCTTCGACTGAGGAGAATCCTGTCTCCCGACCTGTGAACTGGTGGGCACTCTCACTCCTGCGCACGGAGGCAACAGCACCGTGGCTTTCTTATCCTGGGCTCCCCAGTCTGACTGAGTGTACCAAGCCTGGGGCTCAGCCAAGCAAACAGAGTGGCCCCGTGCCCAGGCCTACAGGCTGCTTGGACAAGATGTGTCCCGCTGGTCCCTAGAGGGGTCAGAGGAGGAGAAGTAGGTGTAGCATCACCAGGCTGCCTGGTGGGTTGGAGAGGTAGGCAAGAGAGAATGGGAGGCGTCTGGGGCTGGAGAGGGGCTGGTAGGCAGAGGATATCTGGGGTGATCCCTTGGCGGGGCTGGGGTGGGTGCCCTGGGTGGCGCTGGCTGGGGTTCGGGACATCGGGGGGTTTGGAACAGCCAAGAAGCTCAGGCTTGGGTTTGGGCAGCTGTCGTCCCTGGAGATCTCTTCCTCTTCCTCAGGACACCCCAGGAAGCCCGTGGGGCCTCGTGTTTGGAGGACAGTCTGTGCGGAGCTTCCCAGGGCATCGGAGTAAGGGTGTAGGGAGAGAAGGGCCCAGGAGGTGGTGAGCCTAGTTCTGGGAGCTCATGGGGGCCCCTTGAAAGTGGTCCTGCGGGGGAACCTTGGCAGGAGACTGAGGCGAGAGAGTCCCCAGGGACCTCTCTGTGTGGAGGGGAGAGGTCAGAGGGGCGGCCCAGGCTTCCTGCCTGGAAAGGAGAGGCTATTTCTCCAGGGCTCCTGGCCCAGAAGCCCCCATGGCCAGCAGAGGGACCCAGGTGCCTGGCTTCCCAGCCTGTGGAAGTCAGGCAGGAAGGGCCCTGGCCACAGGGTCCTCAGCTCCCCCAAGGGACTGGGGAGCTGTGGCTGCCGCCGCATGGTGGGATTTGAGGTGAGCAGGAAGCAGCCACCACCTGGCCTCCCTCAGCTGCCTGAGCA